ATGCCATCAGAGACTCTTCCAGAACTACGATTCGTTCTTCAAGAAGAATTTGAAGTTATATCTCAAGACTGTTTGAGAAGTTTGATCAACTTGATGCCACGGCGGGTGAATGCTGTAATTCAAGTTCGAGGATAGTATACCTACTTATTATTGACCTACCATCTAGGTCTGCTTTTTGTTTGTTTTTCGTACTCAGGGTTCTTTCGAGGGGTCAACCAAGTCCAATTCCGATGTAATCCGTCCAATCTTGCTGAACGGAGTATCGTGTCATACCATCTCCATCGATTCCGGCGTTCCACAAGGATCGCACTTTCGGCTCCAACATATTGTTCCTACTTCATATCGATGATCTGTTGGGAGCTACCACAGATTTGCAGACGATAGAACTCTCCATATACTGAGTTCTCTTCTAGAATTCCCACTTATTTCCAGGTTACCAAGAACTTACGACGACGGCAGGTCAACGCTGTCCATGACGACAAATAACTACCTATAGGGTACCAACAATCTAGATCAATTCAACGCCACCAAAACAATACCCTGTATTTTTCTCTATAGAGAGACAGAACTCAGCATGTCTGATATAACAATGTCTGGAACCAGTGTTTCTACCAAAACCACGATATTTATGCTATAAAGGTATTTTCATCAGCAATACTCTTTCATGGTACGATCATGTTCGATCCATCGCGAAAGCAGCTTCGCAGAAACTCGGATTTTTATTCCGTGCGAAAATTACTTTATACCTCAACAGCTTCTCAAGGTCTGGTGGGTGATGCCACACTCAGTAATACTTCGACCTCATTAAAACACCGTATAGAAGTCGGCGACCTTCAACTTTTTTATAGACACTTCCACGAAAATTATTCCTCAGAAATCACTGCAGACGAACTCGACAGGTCCAGTCAGCACATCTTTTCCTTATACACCTTGAAATATGTCGAACAACACTCTACCAAAACTCCATGTCTATTGAACGGAAAAGCTTTGGAATTCTTTGCCAATGGAAGTATTACCAAGAGCTCAGAACCTCTATGAGTTTGAAAAAAATGCCAACACCTACCTCCTCTCCCTATCCTCCCTTCCGTGCGCTCCAAGATATATGAATAATAATATCGTAATGCAAATGGCTTATTAGGAGTATCTGGAGAACGGAAAGACAGGTCATTCTCAAAATTGGTGTGCATTATCCATATGAATACATGTAATCTGATGAAAAAATATTTTTATAGTGTTCGACTAACCACATTTTTCTGTCCGATCCGACAACAGGGAATCAGGGAGTTACCAATCCAAATTGCTCCGCACCAGCACATCACACGTTTCGCGGCTATGTCTGATCGTTTGAATTCGCTCTTTTATTTTGGCGTTCCCAAAGATTTTCAATACGATGAGTTGATAGAAAGAAATCGCAGAAAAATATTTCAGAGCCATATATATCGAGAAATATTTTTTTTTAGAAATGACTGGAAAGGCCCATTCTACGAAGGCCTGGAAGGGACACATAAAATAAAAAAAATAAAAACTCTTCAAAATTTCGACTTATAACTCGGAATTTTAAAATTCCGTGTTATAACTCGGAATATTGGATGTAAAATTCCGACTTATATCTCGGAATTTTAAAATTCCGAGTTATAACTCGGAATTTTACATCAAAATTTCGACTTATAACTCGGAATTTTAAAATTCCGTGTTATAACTCGGAATATTGGATGTAAAATTCCGACTCTTATCTCGGAATTTTAAAATTCCGAGTTATATAACTCGGAATTTTACATCAAAATTCCGACTTATAATTCGGAATTTCAAAATTCCGACTTATAACTCGGAATTTTACATCCAATATTCCGAGTTATAACACGGAATTTTAAAATTCCGAGATATAAGTCGGAATTTTGAAGAGTTTTTATTTTTTTTTATTTTATGTGTCCCTTCCAGGGCTTCGTACCATTCACTGTTTATGCTAAAACTCACGGAAATCTGCATTCAAGTCGAAAATATGGATTTTCCATTAACATGTAGCATTTCCAAGTTATTGCAACGATTTTAACCTCAGTTTCATAACATAAGGAATTCAGAGAGAAAAAAACTTCGAAGTCGTCTCCTCAAATTTACTGGCGAGATGTGCAATCAATTCTGCTTCATCACTCTTGATTGAGACATGTTCCAGCCCTACCTAGTTTTGTCACACACTAGCTTCAATTTTACCAGCATTCAACATTCACCAATATTCAACATTTGCTAATATTCAGCACTATTTGTTGACTATATGGACCTGATTAGTAGATGACTTCATAGAACAGAACTACGGATAATTATAGATATTGTTGCGATATAAGAGTTGGTAGTTTGATATACTGGATTATAATTCGACATTGAATGAAAAGTTCGAAAACTTCAAGAGGTAGTTCGAGGACAAGAATTATAAAGAAGTACGCACTCGCTCATTATTCATAGCCACCTACTAATTTTATGGTTCCACAGCTTTCATGGTGACTGAATATGGTGCTGAATATTGGTGAATGTTGAATGATGGTATAATTGAAACTAGTGTGTGACGAAACACTGTATCAGCAACAAGGTGAATATGAAAATTTGTGATATGTATTTTACTGCCTTATATTCACAAGGCGGATCAATAAGAAATATACTAAAAAAATGGCTTCACACAAAGCTTGGATTTTTATTTCGAGCACGAATCTACTTCACACCCCAACAGCTTCTCATGATCTATACGAAGAACAGATACGGCCTGTTCTAGACTACTACTGTTCCGACATATGGGGTTCAGCACCCAAACATACGCTGATGCTCTCAGATTCCATCCAGGAAAAAGTCATTCGCCTGGTGGGTGATGCCACACTCAACAATTTTTTGACATCACTTGAAGACCGTTGAAGAGGCGGCGACCTCTCACATTTCAATATAAGTTCTTTCACGGTGAATGATCTCCAGAAATCTCTGCAATCATTCCATAGCAATACCACTCAGACGAGCTCGACAATCTCAATCAGCACATCCCTTCGTCGTCAACCCTAAGATATGCCGAACAAATCTTCAACAATAATTGTTTGCCTATATAGAACGACGAAGCTTTGGGATTTTTTGCCAATGGAAATATTCGTAAGATCCGAAAGATCGAAACAAATTTCAATTTCTACCTCCTCCCCCTATCGTTCCTGGGTACGCACGATGATTTCCAAACATTGAAAGGATTCCCTTTCATGCGCCCCAAGAGACAAAAAAATTAATAATGACAGCTTATTTTTAAAATCTGACTACGCCACTGGATTCTACGTGAAGAAATGTATGAGAAACTGTTTTCACTTCTTCTGTAATTTGAAAGATAGCTGAGATACAGGAGTGGTCCGAAAATGCAACATTTAAAATTTCTCCCTGTATCCCAAAAACCAAGCAGGCTATGAATATTTCGTTTGTGGCATCGTGAGTTCCACAGAAAAGTTGCAGAAACCGCAGATCTCCTTCTTGAATAATAAGTGAGGTATCCCGTGAGGACATCGGAAATGGGACAGCTTGTACATAATATGATTATGAAATGATGTTGCAGTATTTCACAATTATTTCATTCTCGAACATTCTGAGGTTGCCGTGTACAACTTTAGTTTCGATTGTTCATAGACAAACTCGCTGTCGAGCTGCGACATCTCTGAGTCTCTGCCTGAACTATGGCGTGTCACTGCAGTGCAGTTTTCTGTATCATCTGAATCTCATCCTGACGGGATACAATCCGATGGTTTACCGTCCGATAGAATACGGTGTCGACGAATTACGGTTTCTATGAGATACGGTGCTGCTAAATTACCAATTCTATGAATGTTCATTATGATAGATTAACGTTGATGAAATACGGGTCTGATGAATTATCATTCCTATGGAATACGAATCCGATGAGATACTTTTTCTATAAAATACGGTTTTGACACATTACTGTTTCTATAAAATACGGATATGATGAATTATCATTTCTATGAAATACGGGTCTGACAAATTACAGGTTCTATGAAATACGGATATGATGAATTACCGTTTCTATGGAATACGGGTTTGATAAATTACTGATTCTATGAAATACTGATTTGATAAAATACCGATTCTATAAAATACGGTTTCTATGAAAAGTTGTTATGACCAAATACGATTATGATGGTTTATTGGTTCGATGAAATACGGTTTTGACGAATTACGGTTTCTATGGAATACGGTTATGACGAATTATCGTTTCTGATGGATTACAGTTCTGATAGATTACCAATTTGATGAAGAACTAGTACGATAGACTGATGTTGCGACAGAATACGGATTTGATAAATTACTGCCTCGATAGAATATAGTTCTGATAAGATACAGATATGATGGAATAATGACTCGTATTAATACCATTGCGACATAAAACTGTTTGATGATTTACGTGTTGAAATTTTATATTTCGATGAAGTACGGTCCGATGTTTTACAATTTGATATTTTACGGTTCTACAGAATACAGTGTCGATTCTATACTATTTAGACGATTTACCAATTCGATGAAATATTTTTCTATGGATTTGAATTCGATACTTTATATTTTGACACATTAGGTGTCCCCGAGCAATTCTGAATACAGGTAAATGCTGGTAATGACGTGAGGAGAGATATACTTCAACTGGTGTTTACGTACATTGAAAAAACCACTAAGTGAAATAGACTAACAGATATTTGATTACTTCAAAAGAATGATAAAGATGCCTGCAACGCAAGTGGAATTCCTGTCAAAAACTTCGAATTTCACGTCGATGATATTCTGATTTCAATATAATGTGATATCCTCTCAATATTGATTCGTCCTTTTTGCTGTCACAGAAAAAAAGTGAATTATACATGGGAAAAATATTATATTTTAGCTCACGGCGTCGAGCTGAAATCTATAACTTTTTTTCCTCGTATAATAAATAACTATATTCACCAAAACTTGTGAATCACTGATAGAATGAAACAACATACAATGAGCCACTCAAAAAATATATTTTCTTCTAAAATTAAGGCAATAGGAAATATAAAGTCACTATACAAATGCTAGTAAAAATCACACTCGTATAAGAAGAACACACTTGATGCGAAGATAAAATTATGTTTATGTTGCGTTAGTTAGTTTTCACCACTTTATTCCAATATTGAGTTTCCTCAGCTTCAAAGCAGTTCCGAACACTTTATCCCAAAACATGCTGCTGATACCAAAACCTGAAAACAATAATTGAATATTTCAATCAATTGATCAATAACCAGCAACGAAAAAAATTGTGTCATGCAATTTAGTTCGAAAATAGTAGATTGTTTTATTGAGGACTAAAAGTGACACTTTGTTTCAATTTTCGAGGATGTTCGAATTGTAGTTTCAATATGAACACAACCACAGAGTGACATATTTGTGTATGGACCAAGTGCTCTGATGACAAATGCTGCGCCAGTGCCAGGTATAAAAACAAGACGTGGAAAATGTTAGGTTAGTGAGCATATCAACAATAATAATAGCGATTATTTATTTCTCTCCATACTCCACTGTGTTCGGCTTGATAATCAAATGCAGGTAGAGAATATCGTTGTTTGAGACAAAAAACTATTGCTGGCCGTAATTATTCAAAAACTATATCAACAATTGTTCCTCCCCTATTGGCAGTCCTCGCGAGATTAACTTCATCCAACGAACAGCGAGGCTCTGGAACACATTACCAAGGGAAATATGTTCCTCGAGGCATATAACCTCCAGAAATTTGAGAAGAACATAAATTCATACTTCATTTCCCTTGGTATATGTCAAGTGACAGATCCCAGATAACACAGGATATCTTATGGATATCCATATCAAGTCCTATTCAAGGCGGGATATTTGTAGACATAAAATGTATATCCATAAGATATCCGATTGCGGATGTACTTGGGATATTCGAAACAAACATCCTGAATACGTCCATAGGGTATCCATGAGATACAGAGACAAAAGATCAATACCTAGAAATTCAAAATCAAATACCTATATACAATGAATGAAATGATAAATAAATAAAAGGACACACTTGTGCGTGATGGGTCTTCCAAAAGATATTATTAATTCGGTTTTCAAAAACAGCGCGAGGTGGCGTAACGTCTCAGATAGTCCAAGATTGGCAGAATTGATGATTATTTATTGATCATCGATTCTACCAACCTTGGAATAGTCAAATAATGCCAATCTGGTTCTCATATTTAATTAATTTGGAGTGAATTTGGAAGTGATTCCTACAAATTCGTCCAAAATCGATGATGCATACAGTGTGACCCATTTAAAATGGAACCACCCCTGTATATCTTACGTAATCGTTGGGTATGGATCCTGAAATTTGCTGGAGCGAGAGATATACCAAAAATGCACTCTATGACCAAGTGGGGTCATCTTCAGTGATATACACTGCTCGCCAACAGCCATGAAACTACCCCAATTTCCGGAAAATGATATTAGGAGTCAAAATAGGTCGAAAATCACTTCAGATTTGGAATCAGGACGCCCAATTTACTAACTATTCAAATTTTTTCTGGAAAATTTTCAGTTCGGAAAAATGAAATTTTGTCGCATTTTTTTATGGAAGCACCCCCGTATCTCACGTAATTATTGAGGTAGGGTTCTGAAATTTGCCGGAGGAAGAGAAAGTAAATTACGTGAGATACGGGGGTGCTTCCATAAAAAATGCGACAAAATTTCATTTTTCCGAACTGAAAATTTTCTAGGAAAAATTTGAATAGTTAGTAAATTGGGCGGCCTGATTCCAAATCTGAAGTAATTTTCGACCTATTTTGACTCGTAATATCATTTTCCGGAAATTGGGATGGTTTCATGGCTGTTGGCGAGCAGTGTATATCACTGAATAAGATGACCCCACTTGGTCATAGAGTGCATTTTTGGTACATCTCTCGCTCCAGCAAATTTCAGTATCCTTACCCAACGATTACGTAAGATACAGGGGTGGTTCCATTTTAAATGGGTCACACTATAAGAATTGACAACTAGAGTAGAGTAGAGTAGAGTAGAGTAGAGTAGTTTATTTGACCATGTTATGTAAATTACATGTACGGCAAGTCATAATTACAATAGCCATAGTGCTAAAAAATGAAGATAATCTTCACCCTCAATCACTAAAGTGCAGAAATAGATTAATTAAAATACAAGAATACATGATTAAAAAAACATTATAGGTATGTTAAAGATTGAACATCAAATGATCTGAATAAAATATATAAAACAAAAAATAAGATAAAAATAAATAAGAACAAAACATAAAAATAACAATGTCCTGTTGAAGGGACTGATAAATGACAGGTTAAAGCTTCAGTGAACTTGCTGCCTCCATATAGGTATCAATATTATAAAAACAATGGCTCAAAAGGAACTGTTTGATGACAGATTTGAATTTTTTGAATTCCAACATTTTGACGGAGCTGTGCAGAATATTATAAATATTGAAATTTAAAGAGTTTCTGCAGCTAACAGCTAATCTGTGTCGTGGGGTTCTCAATAAATTAGCCGATCTTGTATTATGACTATGGAAGTCAGACTGTTTACCAAATTTACTCACATTTTGGTGTATTTCTAGCAAAACTGTGAATATGTATAAGGTAGGCATTGGCATGATACCAAGCTTAATGAAATGTTGATGACAGTGATCTCTATAGCCTAAGTTTGCCAGTATTCGTATAGCTTTCTTCTGACATCTGAAAACTGCTATAGCATTTGTTGAATTGCCCCAGAGTAAAATACCGTATGACAGTACAGAATGAAATAATGAAAAATATGAAATTCTTAAGATGCCAAGATTGGTTATACATTTCAATTGTCTTAGTACAAACAGAGCGCTGGATAACTTTCGTACTACATGATCAACATGATTGAACCAACTCAGTCTGTCGTCTATGGTGAGGCCTAGGAATTTCACACTTTTTCCCTCTTGAAAGTTTGAATTCGAGGAAATCAATAAATTCTGAGTTTTGTTTTCATTGAGCTTGAGTTTATTCTGATTGAACCAGATTTTGGCTGAAATTAGTTCTGTTGATGCAGATGCAATAAGGTCCGTATATGATTTTCCTGAGCATACAAGAGTTGTATCATCGGCAAATAGGACACATTCGGTAGGCGCAATAAACTGACACAAGTCGTTGATGTAAACGATGAATAAAAATGGTCCAAGGACCGAGCCTTGTGGTACCCCATGTTCGATTAGTTTGTAATCAGACTTAACATCATTCAGTTCCACACACTGAATCCTGTTGTGGAGGTACGAACGAAGCAGCTGTAAGGCAATGCCCCTTATACCGTAGTATTCTAATTTTTCAATGAGCAGAGTGTGCGATACGCAGTCAAAAGCCTTCGTCAAATCACACAGTGTCAATGAAGTATGTCTACCTTGATCGAGGCCCTCCACTATGTCTGTCACAATTCTGAAGGCAGCCTGAGTTGTGGATTTGTTTATGCGGAAGCCATATTGTGACCCACTAAAATAAAGTCTCGTTTCAAAGTAGGAGTACAGTCTTTCTTTTAAGATAATTTCAATTACTTTACTAATGATGGATATAATACTGATAGGACGATAATTATCCATAGATGATTTGTCCCCTTTCTTGAATAATGGTATTACTTTCGATATTTTTAGAATATCCGGAAAGATCCCTTGGTCAAAAATGAGATTAATAAGTTGAGTTAATGGGGTGACGATAAATTCAGCAGCTACCTTAGTCAATTGACTGTTCAAATCATGGATGTCACGAGAGTTGGAATCGCTCAATTTATTAATGGCAGCAAAAACATCTTGGCAACATACTGGTTCCAAGAAAAAAGAGTTGGCTGGTTGGGGAAAATTTCTGAAGTTGTAAGATGTATCAGAGTCCATATTGGGAAGAGATCTAATAGTCTTTTCAGCTACTGTACAGAAGAAATCATTGAAGTCATTATTTGAAAATTCACTAATGGTATTTCTGCAATTATACTTATTTCTTTCGAAATTTATTATATTCCAACATGCCTTTGATACATTTGGAGAGTTAACTATATATCCATCATATGATGATTTTTTATGTTTCAATAGTTCGGAATTATATTTTTTCTTCATAATTTTGAAAGCTGCAATATCATCTGGACTCCCAGACACCTCAGATATTATTTTGATAGCTTCTAGGTTATTTTTCATATTTTTAAGATCATCATTATACCAGTTTATCTTGAAATTATTTTTACTCCGAGGTTTTTTCTTCACAGGAAAAGAGACTCTGATAGAATTTTGGAGTGCATCAATGAAGAATTCGCATAGATAGTTAATATCACGATCTTGAGAATCTAATATACTCCAGTTCAACTCAGAAAGTATTGATTTGAATGTATTCAATCCAGCTTGTGTTATGGAAAATCTAGCTATCTCAGCATTTCTGTCATCAAATCTTGATATCATAGTTAAAAATTGAGCTTTATTCGAACGCGGTGAGACGTGAGTGCTTCCAAATTTTTGTGATTCTTTCTATATATAGGCATTGAGTATTCACACTAGTGTATATAATCCAGGATATAGGGTTTATCTCTTATCTATATCCATAGTAGATATCTCATGGATATCCATAATGAATATCTTTAAGACATCCAAAAAGGTCACACTGTCACATCCTATGGACGTCCATAGGATATACCAGAGACTTTTTCGGATATCTTATGGACATCCACAATATCCATAATGGATATCCATAGTATATCCAAAAGATGTACTCGTGCTATCTGGGATTGGTGGTGACTCGACTTATATTTATTTTACTTAGGTGTTTATTCTTTCGGTTGCAGAAGAAAAAGCATGTTCAGTCGGGTCAAAAGTGACTTTGTTTGACAAGACGCGAAATACGCTTCTCACCGATAAATCAACTCCTACACGGAAAACGCTATTTGCCGACGACGTAAGTCATTTTGACATCGATAAAAAAGGATGCACCTTTTTTATCGCTGATAAACTGCCTGCTCCTTCGATCTAGTAGCGATTTGCGCCTGATGTCACTCAAATTTTTCAGGTAATCATTATTGTTGTTTATTTGTATACCGGGTGGCTACGGAAGTATTGCCTACGGAATATCTCAGTTATTGTATGAAGTAGGTTTGTGAAATTTGGTGCGTCGATTAATGACATAAGAGCTAGAATTTGAGCATATTGACATGTCGAAGTTAACTTCCGGTCTGACCGGAAGTAACATCAACTTTCTTATTTTAAATGGAAACCCTATTTTTTTTTCTTTTCGCTTTATTCAGCATTCAATTCCCTTTCTAATGACATATCACAAGTTGGTATCTAACCAGAAACTAGATCAGAAAAAAATTATTATCATTCCACATTATTTTTAATTTTATTTTTGCGTATGGCGATAATCTGTTTTGTTATTTGAAGAATAATAATTGGATTTTTTGGTATTTCATTTCAAAAAATTACTTTCTATTATATCATTAGAAAGGAATGGTTATGCTGAATAGTACAGGCAAGAAAAAGTTGTATGTTCCTATTTAAGTTATGGACCTACAGAGTATTGTTTTTTTCCCAATTCTTCCAATATTTTTTTGGCAGCTTTTTATAACGCCGACGAATGAAAATAAAATATCACAGTAGTAGCAACTGTTATCAAGTGACGTATGGTTTCCATAGCCAACTTTTCAATTTTTGGCTTTCATTCTGCTTCCACGGCCTACTCGGTGAATTTCAATAATAATTTGTTTTTAATCTAGTTTCTGGTTAGATCCAAACTTGTGATATGTCATTAGAAAGGGAATTTAATGCTGAATAAAGCGAAAAGAAAAAAAATAGGGTTTCCATTTAAAATAAGAAAGTTGATGTTACTTCCGGTCAGACCGGAAGTTAACTTCGACATGTCAATATGCTCAAATTCTAGCTCTTATGTCATTATATCGACTCTTCAAATTTCACAAAACTACTTCATACAATAACTGAGATATTCCGTAGGCAATACTTCCGTAGCCACCCGGTATATTGTCGTTGATTTATCTTGCCAAAATACACTAGAACATTTTTTTTTAAAGAATTTCCTTACTAACTCAAACATTTTCCATCAGCTATTCCTCTCGAAAAACTGACATAAGACAAACTTTTTTTCATCTCAGTTTTCCTCGTAAAATTGCTGATCGACAAAAGTTTTTCGTTACCAAGAAAAATGTATCCAATAAAAAAAGCTCTAATGTTTTAACTGTTGACCAAAAACAGCGCCGGCTGAATGCCAACGATAAAATCAATGGGCCTTCGAATCACCGGCATTATGCCAACGATCAGACTAACGGGCCATCAAATCGCCAGCAATCTCGCGTCTGTCGGGTCTACTTACCGCTTTCGTGCTGCGCGAAATGATGCTGATTGTGATATCTCTTCAGGTGGTACAAGTAACTGTCTTCTGTCGGCGCTCCGTGGTGCAAATAGAAATGGATCATGTCGTAGGTCACGTAGCCCGATAAACCCCCTCCAAGAACCAGGAATATCGTCGATTCGGAGAAGATGGGGCAGAGCATCTGGTAGATGACGAAGGTGAGGATGGCTGCTGGGAATGGGGGAAACACCAGGCGTCTGGAGTCGAACGGAACCTGCAGAAGGAAATTCTGATAGAGCCTATACAGGGTATTCTCGAAATAATTTCACGATGGTTCCAATATCAAGAACCGTCGTAATTCCTTTTTTTTTCTGAACATGACCAAGTAGACAGTGAGGCTTTTTATCGCTTGGTGCGCACGAAAGGCAATCCCTATAATGTTCAAAGAACATCGTAGGGAGGATAGGGACAGGAGGTAGGCCAATGCATTCCAGAGCTTACCCGTTCTATAGAGAAACGAGTTTTGATATAGTGCTGTTCGACATAATTCGAGGTTGACAACAAAAGAATGTGCTGACTGCACTTGCCGAGTTCGACTGACTGGTATTGCTAGTCGTGGAATGATAGCAGAGATTTCTGGAGAACAATTTTCCGAGGGCGTATCTATAGCATAACTAGTTCTGAAAGTAATTAGTAGTCGTGCAAAATTTGGACCTGTGTAACTTCCACAGTGAAGATTTTCCCAGCCTAACACTGGGACATAACCAAAGTAACCTATATCTTTGAAGTATTATAGTACCTACGTCCGGCAACACTAGAAGAAAAAGTAAAAGTAATTGATTTTCCCAGTGCTCGTGATCTCGCCGGAAGCAAACGCTCAGGTTGGGCTATTAACCTCTGATCAATGATTTACAGAAGCTGACAGAAGTATCAGGCAAACTCTCAAGCTTAATATCTCTCAAAATATTTTGTTGACGGAAAACATGTATTTTTTCATTTCGTTTTGCTTTTTTGTCTTCTATCATCCATTTCATTTATGTCCCCAATATCGGAAACACCCTGTATAATTCATAAACTTTCGAGGCATATCGAATGTTAAAATTTTGGAATGTGAAGCAAATCTTCCTGATCGATATTGTATACTCACTTTGTGATGAAGGCCATGTATGGTGAAATGAAAATAAATCATCATTTTGGATTTGCCGGTGGGTTCTATATGAAACACCCATCGATGTAAAGAATATTCTATCAGAGTCCATAATAACACCCCTTCACCAAAGTAAAACGCAATTGTTGTCGGGGAGGAATCTGAAAAAAAAAACAGTAATATCCAATTCATCTCTGAAAGGAACTGTATTTTCATTGACACACAGTCATACAACATTTGGGGACTATTGCGAAATTGTAGATAGGAAAGAGAACATTTATTATTTAACATCAAAGTATATCTACAGATGATGAATAGTAGTTTGAGAAACTAAAGAAACACGCTTTTGTCGATAGCTAAACTAAAAATAATGAGAGTGTGTTGATAAATACAAAACATAGAAAATATTAGCTCCTTTGCAATCAGTATATTTTATTTTACTTGATTATTTGGGATTTTCTCTCCTCGTTTCTATAAAATAAAAATATGAGTATTATTTCAATATATGTGTAGATGACAACAACAACAACAACAACAACAACAACAACAACAACAACAACAACAACAACAAGAACAACAACAACAACAACAACAACAACAACAACAACAACAAAATGAACTTTATTGAGTATAAATACTCAAAAGGCCATCGACCGAGGTCCTCCAGCCACAGTACAAGTTTTATATATCCATATAAAGATTATTGTTAAGAAAATGACATAGTTTCTCTGAATAAAAAAAAAGTCATAAAACTGGTCTCTATCGTGGTGGAAATGTCTACTAGATGAATCATCGCACTATAGTCTCTCCCATAAAGTGTGCTCCGGGTGTTTGTATTGTGTTCTCCTGTGGTTCCTTCTGATACAGAATGGAGAGATGAAATTCTTGTTTTCGGCTTTCTCACTGAATTTGGAGGATAAGTGGACTAGTCTTTCCCCAATAGGCTGTACCCTCGTTGTTTCATACAGTAGTTCATTGGGTGGATTGTGGATGGAATTGTTATAGGATGTCTTATTCTGGTAATGATACGTAGAGCAGTTGTTTCAGCTACTTTGAGATTTCTTAAGGCAGGATTTCTCAAGTTCTGGAATGTTATATGTCCATATTCAAGCAGTGGTCTGCGAATCATTTTGTGAATTTTAGTTTTTGTGCATAAATTGATGCCATGTTCTTTTTTTGACATTGATTGAAAATGTTTTGCTCCTGATATGGTTTTCCTTTCCACATTTCCAGTATGTACATTGAAGTTGATTTTGTGATCCATATGAATTCCTAGATATTTTGTGGCATTTTCAGGTCCTGCAAAGCATAACTGTGGGAGATGCAAGTGATACCGAAAGGAAAAATATTACTAAATGTGACTTCCTTGGATTTGGTATCAGTCGCCATTTATTGAACCATTCCGTTGTTTTGTTGGCTAATTGTTAGAGTTTTTCAATGGCTGCATTTAGGTTTCTGCCGTATGCGACCAGGGCAGTGTCATCTGCATATTGTAGTATGTAGTTATCGAAATTGAATTATTGTGGGTCCATGTGATATATATCTAAACAGTATATGTTATAGAGTAGGGGTGATGGTGGTGATCCCTGTGGAACTCCTTGTTGTTGTGTGAATTCGTGTGATAATTTGTCTTGAACTTTCACTCTCAAATTTCTCTCAGTTAGTAAACTGTCTATTATGTGTATCAGATATTTCGGGCAGTTGAGGGAGTCTAGCTTGAATATGAGGCCTTTCGCTCATATACACTGTCGAATGCTTTATTATTGTCTAGAAATATTGCTGCCGTTTTGTCGCCAGTGAGCTTAGTCGCTTCTATGTTGTTGGTGAGTATTGCGAGTGGGTGAGTTGTAGAACAATGACTTCTGAATCCAAACTGATACCCTGGCATATGAGGTCCTATTGATGTCAGTAGCCATTTTTTTATAATTTTTTCAAAGTTCTTTCCCAGTACTGGAAGCAATGTAATTTTCCTATAAGTGGTAGGTTTTGAATGGTCCATGTTGGGTTTGGGAATTGTAACGATTGTACCGGTTTTCCATTCTCTCTAGGAATATAGCTGTTTTTCAAGCAGAACTGATAATATTTGAATGATATGTTGATGGATCTCGTGATGTGGGTGTTTAATAAGTGATTTTTTGGTAAAGTCGTGTCCAGGTGCAGTATTTTTGCCTTGGTGTAATATACTATAGTATTCATCTTCATCTATCTAATACTCCTCTGGGTTCAGAAAAGCTTCTGGTGGGTCTGACTAATGTTCGTTATACCATTTTATGATCATTTCACACTGATTATTAATGAAGTTAACATCTTCATTTTCTCTGTCAAATCAAATGATTTGCCCCAAAATGTCACTGCGTTCAACAAATTTTCCTATCAGGGAGCCTAAAAGAAAAAACTAATGGCTTGTCAGTGACACTTTGTTTGGAAAAATGTTTGAAGAGAAGAAATACAGATATATTGACAAAGTATCGGATTTTTACTTATCTTTGGACGTTAAAAATTCGATATTTTTCAATATACCTATAGTTCTTCTCTTCAAACATTTTTCCAAACAAAGTGTCACTGACAATTAAGCTATTGGATTTCTCTTCTAGGCTCCCTGAAAAATTTGTTAAACGCAGTGACATTTTGGGGCAAATCTTTTGATCTGTCCGACTACAAATAATACTCATATTTTTATTCAATAGAAGCGGGGAAAGAAAATCCCAAATAATCAAGTGAAATGAATGTACCACCTCCTTGATTAACCTACAGACACAGTATTCAGTATATTTCATGTTCTGTATTTATCAACACACTTTCATTATTTTATATTCTACTTTTCATCTTCAGTTTGGTTATATATAAGAGCGTGTTTCTCTAGGTTTTCAAACTGCTATTTATTTTCTACTTTTTATATAGTTCGGCCAACTACAAAAGCGTATTTTTCAGTTTGTTTTTTCAAATATTTTTCGTAAATATACCCAATTTCAACGAAATAATCATAATCTCTAACTTTGAAAACCCCTAGATACAAATTCTTAATAGAATCGGATCGTTAGTTCGAAATCCGTCCGCCATATTGGATCCGCCATATCGAGTTTTTCAAATGTGAAAACTTCACAAACGATAAGATTTCCACAAAATTCTCAAACACACGACATGTTTCGCTAACACAGTAGCTTCGTCAGGTGATATACTGGTACAATAAACCTCCATTTTCGGAAATTAGGTACAATATCTACATCAAAATACGGTATACCAGATTAACTTGAAAGAGTTGATAGCAAATACATATTAATACTTACTAAGAAAACAAATTCAACAGTGGTGAACTATTGAGGTCTTATTGATCATTTAGTAAAATGTCAAAATTTTTGAGTTTGTTGATTTTTAATGATTCAAAATGATTGAGTTTCCGTCCTTCATTTTCTACTTGCAGAATTTCGAAATTATCATCTTAACTATGTGCGTGAACACAGCATGTTAGCTCTCAAAGATAAAAGAAATGTTACAGATCCATTAACAATTTTCAAACTAATGAAAGGACTAGCGCAGAGTCCAAACCTTGTTTCGAAAGTTGAATTCAACGTTCAAAATGGATTACTTAGACGCTTAGAAATTTTCAAAATTCCTTCCCAGAATTCACCATCATGTAGGATGCTCAGAATATTCAACAGCACCTGTAATGACCTGAATTATTTCGAACTGAGTCTGGATTGTTTCAAATTCAAAATGAAAAGATATTTCATCGACCACCATCTCTAGACCATCTCCAGGTTGGCGCCATACGAGCGATCGCATTCATTTTCACTGTATATGTATACCATTTCCTTCAATACTCTAAAAATCACTTTGTTAGTTTCACTCAGTTTTTTTGTTCCTAATATATTTTAATTTTTGTTAAGCCCACTATAAAATTATGAAGAGGGTTCTGTTTTGGAATTTCAATCTGTTCGTAACCCCTATTTTGTATTTTGGTATAGATAAATAAATAAGCGTATTTTGACCATTTGAAAACGTGCCTGGATAAATTTTTCACGATTTTTTCGAATCAGTGCTCAATGTTTTGAATTTCAATCGATAATAATATATGAATCCAGATTGACGGGCTCCATCGAATTATGGAAAAAAAATTGGATCATTTCATTTGAAGGAAAATCGTTTCTTGAGCCACCCTGTAGTTTGTTGATATGGAGAAAAAGTAAGCTTTGATTCAAAAAATTTCATAAAAACAATATTCCAGAAAAGGTTTTCGAATGACCAAAAAATGTTGAAAATTACAAGGATGAAGGGGGGTGACACATTTAAGTGCGGGACACCCTGTACGTGTGTCTATGCAGATCTGTGGTTGGTTTATCTGCTCACCTTTGGTAATTTGTATATATTTCCGTACGCCAATCAGAGTGACGTAGATGATAACGGGTATCCAAATAATGGGTACAACGTACCAAGGCGTTATCGTGAGATTTTCTAGAATGGGATTACCGAACAACCTGAGTCGCCTATCTACCGGTGACGTCACCCATTCGTAGTATTTGTTTCCTAAGCTCGTCACCTGACCCAACATGGGCTTGTCCCAATCCACCAATTTCTGAAAAAAAAAAAGAAAGGAAAATGATTACATACTGTCTGTAGGTTGATCGAGGAAGTGGTACATTCAATATTCCATATTTTTTTGGATTTTCTCTCCTCGTCTCTATGTACAGGGTGTTTCAAAAAAACCTTACTAGGGTAGGTAGAACACTGCAAAATAAGTTGGGTTTTGCTCAGTAAAGAAATTTCGTAACGGCATCCGTTATCAAGAAATGTTTTTTTTACACATTTTTCAAGATTATGTCGGAATTACTGGCAACATTGTGATGAAATTTTGTATAGATGTTTCTTGAAATCTGACACATCGCATGCATTTGTTTTTATATCTGACTCTCATAGAGGGCGCTAGTTACACGGTTCGTACCGAGTAGTTTTGAACATAACTTTTTTAAGGTTAGATTTTCCAATCCAAATTTGTTGTGAACTTGAACATCATTCAATTTCACATCAAACGTCCTAGGGACGTCCCTATTTGGTACAATTCACGTCCAAATGTCCCGAACCAAAAATAAGTGTCCTCGGGACGTCCCATCCCGTACATCTCATGCAATGTCCGAGCAAGGACGTCCACGGAATATCCCAGCTGGTACATCATTTCAAATGTCCTAGAAATAGCATCCCTTAGACCTCCCACGTGGTACATATTGTGGAATGTCCATGCAAGGACGTCCTTGGCATGTCCTTGATGGGAAATGATTTCAAACGTTCCTTTAGGGACATCCATCGGATGTCCCGAGTAGTACATATTCTGGCATGACTTCACATCTCATATAATGTCCCTTCTAGACAACCATGAATGACCCTGATGGTACATTCCTTCAAATATCTCTGCACAGACGCCCTTAATATTTCCAGGATCGTATAACAATCGAAATGTCCTTTAGGGACATCCTTCGAATGTCCCTTAGGGATATCCGTCGGATGTCCCAATTGGTACATAAACTGTACTCTTTCAATTTCCTAAAAATAACGTCCATTGGACGTCCCAGTCGGTACTTTCAATATGTTGTCCCTGCGAGGACGTTAACTTACACCTCGCCGACGAATGATTGCTCGTAGACTATAAGTACTCCTCGTCAATGTCCTTCACGTAAGTCCATTGGACATCCTTGGGAAACTTTTTGGCGACCTTCTACGGACCATCAACAAAACTGGATGTCCTAATCAGTTATGCAAGATCTGGTCCTAGAGGGACCCAGAAAAATTCAAATTCAAGAATAATTCGTACGTCCCTGGGACATCCTATGGACATCCAATTGATAACCCTCGGCGTTGCTGATAGGTTGTCCTATGGATGTCCTAAGGATGTCCTCTGTAGTGCTTGATGAGGAATACTGTAGGATTTAGGTATTCGATAGTTGTCTCATGGACTTCCCTAGTTGGTCCTCAAGTGGGACATTTGTGCGTCCCACAGACGTCCAATGGACCAAATTCGAACGTCCTATGGACGTCCTGAATGTCCCGACAGGAAGTCCTAAGGATATCCATGGGACATAAGTGTGTTATTAGGGTAATAGAAAACAGCGGCATTTTCGATTTTTTCGTCTTGTAGCCATCTGATTATCTGTCGAGTAATGCTCATCTATTAGACGAGCTGTCATTGCTTGAAATTTGACATTCCCTGGGCGATGAGGTTTTTCTGAAATAATAACACAATGGAGTCATTGTGATATCAAATACAGAAATAACATTAATGACAAACAAAGTACCTCATTGATGTATCGAACACAGCAAAACAAGAGCAATTTCGCGTTATAGCCGTAGAAAAAACAATATTGTATAGGTGTTCACAATATTTATGAAAACACAGCCATTTTAAGATCATTATTAGGTGAGTCGTTATACATACAACCTCATTACGGTAATATACAAAAAATCCATGTATTTTACTGTAACAAATAATGAACTGACGATTATGAATGCTCATATCATAGGTTATGCAAATTACTAGACAAATTCGAGTAATGAAAGTATAATATATCTTAGGATAATTTGTATACATATCTACAAAAGGTAAATATTATCTAACAGTGACAGAGTACAAAAATTCAACGTATTAAATCACCTATCATATTATTTACTTTAGGATTATAGTTGCAAAAATAACTATAGTACTTCAATAAAGTTAGTAGAATTGAACAATTAAATAGATTAATTCATAAAGATTATCTACCAACAATCTTGAAGTGGAACAACTATAAACTGCTGAAAAAAATTCCTCCTCCTCTCCCTGTACTCCCTATGTACGCACGATGTTCGTCGAACATTATAAGCATTTCCTTTCGTGCGCTCCAAGAGATAAAGAAAAAAGAAAAATTTAACCGGATTTTTTTTCATCATAACTTGCGACTGCCCTAATCGATTATTAATTTCGTTTCAGTTTCTGAATATTCGTTTCAATGACTTTCGAGCATATGGAAATAATTTTTGTATCTCTTATCCTGAATGAAATTTCACAGGATAGCAATAAAAGCTGTAAATGTGCTGAACAATGGTTTTGAAATGTTTGCAATATTCAAACCAGGTGGTCCTCAAAAAACAATTATGTCACTAAATTTAAAACAAATTATTGAAAACTCGTGCTAATTTCAATATACATTTTTCATTATCCATTCATTATGTGTATTGTCACTTGCAATACAAAATAGATGAAATTATTTCCGGAAATCGGGCTCGTCTTCGACTAGGAATACTTTTTTCAAAATATTCAGACCAGAAAAAAAATCCGGAAAATAATTCAACCTCGTGTGGCATACGGTATGAAAGTTCCACATGAACAAATTTAGTTTGCTTTGCATTTTCGGCACCAATAGTACGAATTCTTCTTTTCTATTTTATATGTCTATGACTTCTACAGTTCAGAAAGTGACATATTATATTCTTCCATTTTATAGCAAGTTGGGGTAACTATACGAGTGGTAGAAAATTATAATAATATTTTGTCATTGAAACGTCAATAAATTTCCGATTCAATTCGCTGTTAGGTACCCAAGGGAAAAAAATCCACTAAGAAACATACTACGGTGATTTGTCAAAAAAAAAAAGAATGGTTGTCAATTACTGGGGTAATTGATTGATTGAGCAATTGTGGAGTAGGATGAAATTAAAGATGAATGAAAGGGAGGAAGGCACTGAATATTTTGATAAATTTGAGAATGCAATGAATTATGAGATAGATAAAAGGTATTTCCCGGAATTTTATGAATACATTGATAGACCAATAGACCTTTATCACTCCTACGGTCAAGATGAAGCCCAATTAACTGCTTTAATGTTTTATTTATTTATCATAATCATGCATGAACATATTTTTAATGGCAACCCTATAGGTATGTACAGGGTATCCCAATTTGGGCACTTTTGCGGGGTATCTCCCTTATCAGTAAAGATAGAGCATTGCGGTTTTCGCGACAGTGTGCTATTTTTTTATGAAATTAATAATGGCGCAAGCAGAATTGTGATAGCTCTTCCGGTTGTCGAGATACAGGGTGGAATTGAAAAATATCACTTTTCAGGCACCCTCCGTGTCTCAGTTATCTTTGAACTTATCGAAGAAGTTGAAACTTGTTTTTATAGAGTTTTTCTCGTAGAATCCAGTGGCGTAGTTATTTTTTGCTAGCACCTTTTGTTTTTTAGTTATGGAGCAAACATATGTTTTTTTAAATGGAACACCCTGTATATTATTTCATATATACATTGAGCATGAAGTGGGCTTTCCAAAAATATATAATTGTATACAATTATTTTCCATTTAAAAAAACATATGTTTGCTCCATAACTAAAAAACAAAAGGTGAGAGCAAAAAAATAACTACGCCACTGGATTCTACGAGAAAAACTCTATGAGAACAAGTTTTAACTTCTTCGATAAGTTCGAAGATAACTGAGACTGAAAAGTGATATTTTTCAATTCCACCCTGTATCTCGACAACCGGAAGAGCTATCACAATTCTGCTTGCGCCATTATTAATTTCATAAAAAAGTAGCAAACTGTCGCGAAAACCGCAATGCTCTATCTTTACTGATAAGGGAGATACTCCGCAAAAGTGCCCAAATTGGGATACCCTGTACATGTTCAGAAACATAGGTATTTAATTTGATGAGATATAATTTTCATCCGGTAATTCGGAGCAGTAAGCAGATTAATGAAGGTCGACCTTCCTTGGTATACTGCAATATTGACGCGTTGCCATTAAATGTCATTTGGAATTAAATGTCAAACAACTCAAAATAAGTGAGGTAGAAAAGTCGACCAGTTTGTTTATTCCCAAATACGTGCCTTTATTGGCCGTGAATTCGTATCATATTAAAAAGTACCTACATGTCTTCATTTTTTGAATTGACTCGGCCGTTACTTGATGAAAATCCATAGCAAATGTAAAAACTTCACAAACGATAAGATTTCCACAAAATTCTCAATCACACGACATGTTTCGCTAACATAGTGGCTTCATCAGGTGAAATACTGGTACAATGAACTAAACTAACCTTGGCTTGCCTAACTTTTATATATCCTACTTTCCCAACCTCAAGGATTAGAATTACCTGTGGATAGGTTCCATAAACCTTCATTTTCGGAAATTAGACACAATATCTACATTAAAATACGGTGTACCGGATGCATTTAAACATTCCGGTATAGGATTCGGCACCTGCTTAAATTCTATTGGCGGATTTTGATTTGTCTGACCAATTAAAGGCGAAGTGCCGAAATCCGTACCAGAATGTTGAGCGGTGCTGAAAAGCAGGTCGGAATGTTGCACTGCATTATGCGCGGTTTTTGTTTACACCCTCGCATTTACCTAACCTGCGTATTTTTTTATTATACCGTCGTTCCCACATGCTAGCAACAAACCTGCAATCTTGTTATTATAGTTAAGTGCAATCATCAATTAGTGAAGTATACCATGAATCACTTATTATGGAAAGATCAATAAAAGTTTCAGAAATTTTGGCAATATGAAGAATGAAACAGAAGTTGTGCAATGGATGAATGATTATGAAGCTCAGTCGTTTACATCATGGCGTTTCAAATCAGGCCCTACAAATATTGAAAGATTCTTGTACAGGTAACAATTTTATGCTTTTTAAATATTTCTTTATTTGCTCATGAAATGTATTCGAAGAAGACGAAGACGCAGTTTGGCAGGTAACGTGGCGAGAAATCAACCAAACGCTCCCATCCCATGGAATAGGACATAAACAGACATTAAGTGTTCTAATGATTGTTATTTCGAATTTATTACCTCATTTTATTACATATAATCATTCATTTTAAACTCTTATACCAAATAATCATCATGAATATAAATGAAAATTTCTAAAGTTATTGAAAAATGCGTTCATTGCACATTATCTGCTCGAGCTTTCATTTCATCAACATTCCGACCTGTGTTTCAGCACCGCTCAACATTCTGGTACGAATTTCGGCACTCCGCCTTCAATTGGTCAGATGAATCAAAATCGGCCAATAGAATTTAAACAGGTGCCGAATCCTATACCGGAATGTTTAAATGCGTACCGGATTAACCTGAAAGGGTTGATAGCTAATACATGTTATAACCCACTAAGAAAATACATTCTGTAACGAGCTTTATTCTGGGCCCTAACTTTGGCGCTCTGTTTAGGGCTGATACTACTCTGGTATTTGACAGGAGGGGGGTTCTCGAGCGCCAGATTGTTTTTGAGGTGGTTTACTCTACCTGCTCTGCACAAAATGTTTTTGTACAGTGGCCCAAAGTAGCAACAGTGGAGAAAGGTACATGAGGTGTAACTACCTCGGTACCTAGGGGAGAGTGGGGCAAAGTGGACCGAGGGGCAAAGCGGAATTTGTAATATGGCAACGCTGCAGCACGCCGATATAGGCCAAAACCTGTACTCTATTAGCAGTTCATCAGTTTCCTGGAAGCACCAAACTCTGTTTGTACGTGCCCGGTTGATGTGTGAGAAATTGTGAATAATCCAAATAATCGTTTAATTTTGGACACGCTGAATTTGTGATTGAAAGTGGATCACGTTGTTGGAACGATAAGTGCTTTTAACTGTTCTGAAGGTAAGATATATTGACAGCTATACTACATCAAAAAGATCCATTTTGTCGTTTGTTTGGAAAAAATCACACACTTAACAAAACAATAACAAATGGGGCAAAGTGGAATGAAAATGGTGGGGCAAAGTGGAATGTTCATTCCACTTTGCCCCACAGGTATATTTCTGTCTACTTGACTGATTATCAATTGTTTTTTTCACCCAGGGAGACCTATAACCATAAGACAAGTCGGTCAGTTGTTCGGAAACGCATACCTGAGGGCGTCCACTGCTAAGAATGCCATGAGCGGATTCGAAAAAACAGGAATTTGGCCACTTAATCCTCATATTTTTCCAGAAGAAGCGTATGCAGCAAGTGAAACAACCAATAGGTAGGCGGCTATTATATTAACGATAATAGAACGGTAAAAATTTCACAAATACATTTTCTTACAGACATGCTTCCACAAACAACGAACCGACAACTGACGATGATGACATCCCCCTAGTATTGTTGAAAAGAGCTGCTGAACATGAAAATAAAGGAGGAGCTACTCCTTCCTGCAGCAAAGGCGTTGAACAATCAAATAAAGAAGCCCCTTCCTGCTTCTACACCAAAGATGTCGTCTTACATGCAGTTCCATCATGTTCTTCGGAAGTGGTGGTGGAAGCAATTCCTGGTTGCTTTTCGGAATTACTTCCAGCTATCGTTGAGGAAATACCATCAACTAGCAACAGAATGTGCACTCCTAGTGACATTATACCTGTGCCTCAGATAAAGACGAATCAGGAACGCAAAATATCTAGGAACAGAGGCAAAACTGCAGTGCTTACCTCGAGCCCATATCTTAAGGAACTGAAAGAAAAAAATGATGTGACTCCCAAAAAGTCGATTAAAACTATTAAAAGGAACGTTTTCACACGCAAAAATAAGGATACACCAGAAATTGAACAAAATCAACGCAAAAAGTTGAAACATGATATGACAAGTAAAGAAAATATAACTAATGATGATGATGATGATGATGATACGGAATGTATTTTGTGTGGAGGAAAATACCTAAGATCTTCTTCAGGTGAACCCTGGATATCCTGCAGCCGCTGCAAAGGATGGGCTCATGAAAAATGCACCGCACATGATCGCTCCTCTGATAAACTTTATATATGCGACCTTTGCGAATAAATGTTGTATCATGGACTTTTTCAAACTTGTTTTTATATTGATTGAAGACATATTCCACTTTGCCCCATATAGTGTTCCACTTTGCCCCACCGAAGGGGCAAAGTGGAACAGAATTCAAATTATTTTGAAAAAATCATTTTGACAAAAACCTTGTAACTAGAGATTCCAAATCAATGTCATTTTTCGACAACATCAACATCTTTCGATTGACACTAATTTTGCACCTTTTTGACAAAGAATGAGATTTTGAGCTCAAAAAACAAAAAAATCATTCCGCTTTGCCCCACTCTCCCCTACAGTATAAACCAGGGGTCAATGGTATTGAATCGACCTGGAATCAATAAGGAGCCAAGGGAGTGTAGGCTACAATTACAAACCCTGGGTTTAGCCTGGAATACTGGTTGCTATTTTCATTCTGGATAATTACAGGAATCAAAGTGAATATCTTTCGGGTCTCTGGTATTTTTAGGTTAGGTCTGGAAAATTATTCATTCAAACTATTTCATAAAGTCTACCTGGACAAACGGAAACACAGTAAACGGACAGGACACATCGCACAAGAACATCATAGCACAAGACATGATTTCTCAACAAAAATAGGAAAAAGAATTGACAACTATTTATGTCAGCTGTCCATCAATAATAATTAATTTGACAAATGAAAATAATGAGTTATTGGAAATTAAAAAAATGGAGAAAAATGGAATATGCAATCACAAAATATGGTTTATTTACAAAATACAAATTTCTAGACTCGTTACACCGGTCGGGAAAGTATATCGGGAATCGGAGCAACAGGAATGAATGAATCTATACAGGATGAATGACTGGTGAAAAATATTTACAAACTCACATGTGTAACACAAAATCACTATACGATAATATACACTGGCCTGAGAGCACTAACAGCAAAAATCAAAATCAAAAATACGTGTGAGAGCCGGCAAGAACCAGGAGTGAAGTCAAATGTGAAGTCTGATCTGAAGTTGAGTCTAACTGTCGTCCCATTTCCTTGCACTCTTCAGTATTCATACACTGCTTTGGCCTTGGCACAAGGACAAGTAAATCTGGAATCTCATTGGTCAAAACTGCAACCTTGTCATGACTCATGGCCATGGCCACTAGGCCACTAAATCTGTCCTTGGAATGCACATGTGCACCTCGAACACAAAACGCGGAAAAAATAATATTCAACCCTAAATGGGCACAGGATCAGGATCTACTACCTTTGCTTATGCTACTGAATGAATTTGGCTGGAAAATATTCGATAACAACAAAGTTATGAGCAGTCAAACATCAAGAATTTCAGCAGATAGATAATTCATCTAATTTTCATATCATAAGCAAAGGGTTGGAAAATATTGTAGTATTTAGGGTTGTAATGATGTCTAGTAGAGTTTACTATCCGGAGTCAGGAATTGATGAAATTCTGAGCACCATCAGGTTTTCGGGTTTCGAGATATCGAACAAGTGAAATTCAAGTCAAATATGCTTCAGGAACTTGGATATTTATTGAAGTGGTGAACTATATTGAGGTCTATAGTTGACCGTTAAGTAAAATGTTAGAATTTTCGAGTTTGTTGATTTCTAATGATTTATTTTCTACGTATAATATTTCGAAATTATAATAGAAACTATGGTTTTCTTCTAATATATGGTTGGCGTATGTTGAACTTGTTTTCTGTTTCAAAAAATGCATCTTATGTTCATAAACGCGCTGATTAAACGTACGACCTGTCTGACCGATCAGGACAAGATCCACAGTTGAGTTTTTATACTCCTGATTTTTCGTGTGAATAGTGAAATTTGGCATTAAGTTTGACTTCTCGTAATTTCTACAATATTGAACGAATTTTGAATTGCCGCCCAGATTCTGAATGCCTGTTTCATCGTCTTTCGAACCGTTCCTTACAGCTTCTTCTGAATTGATCAGGGCCCATGATACAGGGTGAGACAAAGTTTCGTGCATTTTGAAAAAAAATTCTCCGTCCCCCCATTTTGTCGGAAGACCACGATGCTCATATTTTATTCAGGCATTTCATAGATAGTAACCATACCTCGGGATATTTTCGAGTTTTTGCCAAAAACTACTGTGGTTTCCGAAAAAAAAAATGTTTTTGCATTTTTTTCAAATGGACTAATTACCTGTATCCTCAAAACGATGAAACAGTCTATTTATTGTCATGACTGACTTATTGAAAATGGGACTTAAGAGTTTGGGTATATCCTAATCGTCGTAACCTGAAATAATAATTATCTGTACTGAATTATAGTTTATATCACTATAGTGATCTTACCCAATGATATTTTCCATTTCGACCCGATTTGAACGAGGCATCTTCAAATTTTTTAGGACCCAAATTACACTGACGTTTTCATGAAAATTGGCAATTGATATAATCTCTATGCATACCTACATTGTTTCAACAATACGTTGTTATAGAAACAAGGTATCGTTGTTTGTTTTTGTTGATGAGATGTGTTGATTTACTGCTCACTACGGTAGAAAACTTTTATCATAGACTTCGAAGTAATAAATTATTGATTGTTTTTGAGTAACCTGGTATACATATCTGCTCCAACGCTTTCCTGAAATGCATAAAAGCATCCATTTATGGAACTCCTCTAAAATTAGTTCATTTAAAAAGAATGCAAAAAAATTTTTTTTTTTTGAAACCACAGTAGTTTTTGGCAAAAACTCGAAAACGTCAGGAGGTATGGTTGCTATTTATCAAATGCCCGAATAAAATATGAGCATCGTGGTCTTCCGACAAAATGGGGGGGCGGAGAAATTGTTTTCAAAATGCACGAAACTTTGTTTCACCCTGTATCACGGGTCCTGATCAATTTAGAAGAAGCTGTAAGGAACGGTTCGAAAGACGATGAAACAGGCATTCAGAATCTGGGCGGCAATTCAAAATTCGTTCAATATTTTAGAAATTACGAGAAGTCAAACTTGATGCCAAATTTCACTATTAACGTTTCAATTGACGCCCAGTTTATATAAAAGTTAGGCAAGCCAAGGTAAGTTTAGTTCATTGTACCATATTTCACCTGATGAAGCTACTGTGTTTGCGAAGAATTTTGTGGAAATCTTATCGTTTGTGAAGTTACTACATATGTCTTCATTGGTTGAAATCTGTATCATAATAAAAATCCGTGTTAAAATGAACACTAGTAAAAAATTTGTAGCAGATATTCAATTCGAATAGAGAGAGTAGAAAAACTTCCTTACCTCCATATCACTATTTTCTTCAATCTTCCTCCCTCCTTTCCTGTATTCTTCTAATAAATAATAGGCGGCTTTGGAATGTTGATACTGTTTCATCGGTTTAGTAACTTCTTTTTCCTGGTATGGCCTGAGATAATTCGTACCACCGGGATGGTTGTTGAGGAACTCGTAAATGTTGTAGCAGTTTGCGTTGAATTTGACGTCGAATTCCTCATTTTGATTCATTGTTTCTCCTGAAAATTATAAAAGAGAACGCTAGTGAATCGTATATTCCAGTCAGATATCGTAATGAATTGATATCTATTCACATGAGGAAGAAAAGAATACGAATAAGGAGACAATAGGTATATATACAGGCTGGAGACTTTAACTGGAATAAATTCGCTACTGGGGAAGTGGAGGATTTTTTCTGAAAATTCGCAAGACACGTCAACGTTCAAATGTATTTACCAATATTTGGCAAGCGATATGGAGAATACACAGAAAAACATTCTTCTTTGAAGCGACAAAATTTTTGTAGATTCAACAAAATCTGAGTGTCATATATCCACGACAAAATATTTTGTCTTCGCAACAAATGTTTTTTGTTTTAAATTCAAATTTGATTTTATGTAACTCATTAATGATACAAATTAACAGCAGGAATTGGTTGAATGAACAAAGACTATTTTTTTCCTATAATACAATATCTGCTCTTATGAACGATTCAGTTGATTGAAATGATTATATCATTTTATCCAAGTGACAAAATTTTCAGTTTCTCAGGGAGTGAATAAGTGAAAATAACAATATTCTTCGATCGAGCAAATTGTATTTTGAATTGACATAATATTTTGCTGAATAATATTAAAAAAATCCAATACCTGAATTTCAAAACTAAGAGAAATTAGTGATCAATTTCCTCAGTTGATTCAAGACTAGTAGCGTGTATCAGCGTCATAAGAAATCCTAGGACAGCCTAATATAATTATAAAAATGGATGTTTTAGGTAGGTATGTGTACACCCAAATCGAGGCAAGCGTAGGAAATTATTTTGTATCTTTGACTAGGTTGCTCATTTGGAATGAACATATATTTTCTTGATTTCGCAAAATTGTGTTTAATTTAACAAAAAGAAAATGACCAGAATTATTTTGTTAGTGCAACAAAATTATTTTTCCGTGTATGACCTTTCAGGGGTAACTATGGAATCAACCCTAGGATGTTTTTTCAAATGCAGCCCTATGGCTTGCGACCCCTCATTGGAAAACTGGTTAAAAGAGGAATCCAGCGTACTTATCATTTTTTAGTTTGCGGTACGTTTGGGGGTCGCATAAAATCGAAATATAATTTCAAAGTTTGATATATTTTTAACGTATTTTCATCAAAATTTTCACTTTTAGTGACAGTGATATAGGGCATCTCCACCAGTTTGCAATAACACTTCGTTACGAACTATGAATATGGCAGAAAAACGAAATTTCTTTTTGCGGCTCTATAAAAACACTGGAATATAATAGCAGATAGCAGTTGTGGCAAAAAACTGCCATCGATTGTTCAACACACATTTTGAGCGATGGTTACGTTGAAAAAGAATGAATTTCAAAATTACATTTCAATTTTATGCAACCTTAAAACGTATAGAAAACTGAAATTTCAATAGTACGCTGGATTCCTCTTTCCACCAGCTTTCCAATGAGGGGTCACAAGCCATAGGGTTACATTTGAAAATATCATGTTGAGGGTGCTTTTAGCTACCCTTGGAGGGATATATTCTCGATACTGCTTGCAAAAGGTAGGTAAATACATTAAATCGTTGACGTAGGCCGGGAATTTTTAGAAAACATATTCACCTTACCGCTAACGAATTTATTCCAGTTAGTCTCCACACCGTACATATATAATTTTGATACTATCGGTCCAGTACTGCTTGTATTTTACAATTTTGAAGTATTGATTAAATGTTTCGATTGAATATTGTGAACAGTGAATCAGGTACTTTTGATTATTGTCATCATTGCTTTCTGTATGCTATAATAGTAATAATAGGAATAAGTAATAATCGTTATCTTCCAAATTCAACATAAAATTTCGGAAACAATACAGTGAAATGATTGCCATAATTGGATTCGCCTATAGAGGGTGCATCTGAATATCACCGAAAAAATGTAAGGGGTGATTTAGTGATGAAAATTAAGGTGAGTATTTGGTGAAACATTATTTGAACAACCACTCCCCAGAATAGTTATACCCTTCTGAGAAAAAAGTTTTTCTTTTTTATTCACCCTGTATATCGAGGTAAAAACATGAAACTACTATTCTACTACTACTACTTCTAATACTACTACTAATACTACTACTAGTACTACTATACTACTAGACTACTACTCCTACCTACACTTTTTTCATCTCTGAAGAATGCTTAGAAGGTGTTGAAATATTCAACCCCTAAAATTTCTTGGAGCTTTTTTTCGTAACAAAATTTTCTTTCAAAAGAACATGGCAAATGCTCAAGTTTTCGAGAAAAACTTTTGGAGATAAAATTATGAATTGGGCTTTTCAGACAGGCTTTTTCAAAAGATGAATTTTTATAGAGAGAAAAGTTGTGAAGAAAATATCTTAGGGGTTGAATATTTCAATCTCTTTTATTCATACTTCGGGAATGAGATAATTTCAAAATGTGAAGTTTTATTGACAAATGAAATTCACCAAGTTTCCTGTCTTTAGCTCAATATATACTGGAGAAATGAAAGAGAAAAACCTTTTTTTTTTGTTAATCTTTTCCGAGAGAGGTTAATCGAAAAAATGTATACCATATATCACCTCCATTTTCATCACAGAATCACACCTCACATTTTATTATGTTATTTAGATACCTACATATACACATACTACGTATACATACATTTCCATTGAATTTTTGAGAATATATTCTGATATAACGGTCAATAAACTCAAATGGCTATGCTCAAAATAATCATTATTTTTTTCATTTACCCTCATTGGTTTTATGGTATACTAAAATTAACGCATTGATAATATCGATAGTGTTTTGTTGAGAACGATTTTTAATAAAGTTGGAAAACGTAATATATACAGGCTGATTCACGGTGGATGGCACGTTAGACGTTTATGGAGAACGGGACATAGGATCATTCTGAAATTTTGGTAACTCACGTAGTTGCTCTTGGTCTATCGATCTAGAATATTTTCAGCTCTGCGGCGTTGCCGCTTCTATCGAAAAGTAGCAACAACTTTGTTATTTTAAATAGAACACCCTGTATTTTATTGCATTTTCAGATTCTCTCTGAAGAGCTGATTTCATCGATGTATCACACTTGGGGTCTAACGGAAATGATTACAGAGATATAGGATGTGAAAAATCGTCATTTTTCAACTTTAGGAATTTTTTTTGTCGAAACTATTCATTATTGGTCAAAACGACTCACATGTCCCTATCTCAACTTTTGATTAACTATCTACTGATATTTAATTGGGACATATACCGGGTGATCAAGATTCTGAATTCTGCACGACCCTGTATTTGTTTCAATTAAATGTCAGTAGATAGTTGATCAGAAGTTGAGATAGGGACATGTGAGTCGTTTTGACCAATAATGAATAGTTTCGACAAAAAAAATTCCTTAAGTTGAATAATGTCGATTTTTCACACCCTATATCTCTGTAATCATTTCCGCTAGACCCCAAGTGTGATACATCGATGAAATCAGCTCTTGAGAGAGAATCTGAAAATGCAATAAAATACAGGGTGTTCCATTCAAAATAACAAAGTTGTTGCTACTTTTCGATAGAAGCGGCAACGCTGCAGAGCTGAAAATATTTTAGATCGATAGACCAAGAGCAACTACGTGAGTAACCAAAATTTCAGGATGATCCTATGTCCCGTTCTCCATAAACGTCTAACGTGCCATCCACCGTGAATCAGCCTGTATAGGTGAGCTTACTGTTTTTAGACTTTATCAGGAATCATATAGCCCCTTTTGCAAACCCATCATTCATGTAGTCCTATCTGAGGTTTGCATTAGGGGTATTCTTATTATATCAACATCAACAGGAGTTTCGAAAGTGTGAAACCTTCATCGTATTTCATAAAGTAGGAACTACTTTTCAAAATTTCTCCTAAGTTTTGGAAACTTTGACAATCATGTCTGATCCATCGCGAAAGCTGCTTCACAGAAACTCGGATTTTTATTGCGTGTGGAAATCTCCTTTACACCTTAACAGCTTCTTATATGATCTAAAAACCACAGATACGGCCTGTTTGTGGATACTGGTCTCACATTATGAAGTTCAGCAACCAAACATACGCTAATGTTCTTAGATTCTATCCAGAGAAGAGCTATTCGCCTGGTGGGTGATGTCACACTCACTAGTCATTTGACATCATAAGGAGTCTTGAAAGTTAACTACTTTCTTGGATTTAGAGACAAAATCATCACATTTATCGATAAACCGACGTTGTACATATTCTTCATGTAAGAGTATTAGTTATTTTGCTCGTTTGAGCTTAAGTTCATTGATGGACAAATCTTGAAGAAAGGTAATGATAATTTTATGAAGCGGAATAAAACCAGAAAGTTAGTTGGTAAAGGTAATACATCTTTACGTTATTTTAACTAGCTATACGTCCAACAAACCGTAATATTCATCTGACTCTCTCTTCATAAATGCTGGTGTTCCGCAATGATGAATTCTATCACCAATAACACTATTTCTACTCCATATCAACGATTTGCTGGAAGCAACTTCATGTCCAGTACACAGCTTCGCGGATGATAGTACCCTCCATACCGCCTTCTCATCTACCAGATCTCCATTTCCAGCCAGGCAAATCAGAAACGAACGAGGAAGAAATGTTGACAATATAAATATGGACTTGGCAACAATTCTCGAATGGGGATCAAATAACTTGGTAGATTTCAATGCAAACAAAACACGAGCCTGCCTTTTCTCTAGAAAAGTCGATCTCACTGTGCCCAACATAAGCTTGTCAGGAGTAACCATACCTTTGAAGACATTCATTTCGATGCTTGGTATTACTATCAGCAATAACTTTTCTTGAGAAAATCACGTGAGATCAATTGCTATTTGGAGTGCAGCACCCAAACGTACCCTGAAACTGTTGGATTCTGTCCAAAAAAGGGTAATTTGTCTCGTGGGTAATGCCTCGCTCACAAACTCACTCACTTCTCTGGAACACCGTAGAAAAGTTGGCGTTCTGGCTCTATTTTAT